CAACTCAGCTGTGGCGATGCAGTTACACACCCAGACCTGGTCAGACTGCAGGGATTTACATAACGGAGAAAGACGCGGCCAGTTAATAGGTTGCCAGCTGAACAGGATCCCAGCCCTCTGACAGGCAGAGCCAATTCAATGGCACCACGGCATTAAAAATCTCGCCTCCTGCTCTGTTAATAACTGGGGCTTCTCCATCAGCTCATTTTGTATTTATTGTCACGTGCACGCACCCCCCGCTGTGCTGTTGTTTTACTGGCCAGACTCAAGGGCAGGCCTGTTCGCCCTGGGACGCATGGTTTGTAACTGGACCCCCGGGGAGGGGAAGTGTCCCGCTGCTGGCTTAGCAGCGCACACGTTCCCTGCGCGCTGTAGGGGGGTTACACTCTAGGTCACCTCCTCTCCCCCGCCCCGGGGCGCTGCAAAAACCCGCGGATGCCCCAGGAAAGCAGCGCCTGTCGCGCGGCGCAGGCTAAGGTCCGAGCACTCTTTAGTTTTCCAGTCAGCACTGAGCTCAGCGGCGCTCCTTGCACCTCTCCGCGAGCAGCGGGCGCCTTTCCAACCAGGGCTGCACAGGGGCCGGCCGGGCGCTCCCCCCGCGCTGCAGAAAGATCGCCTGCAATGTGGCTTCAGCTAAGTGACACCCCCCGGCTGTCTGTTAAAACGGTGTGCGGGGGCGGGCTCCCCGGGTAACCCTGCGCAGCCTGGGAAATAAAAACACCCGCGAGAAAGCGGCTGCGGAGTTAACACTACAGAATGCCCCCCCCCCCATCCCAGCATGCTCGGTTTGAATGCCCCCACCTCGGCTCTGCTTTTGAGGCTGCTTCGCTTAGGCCTGAGCAGGACGTCATGAAAGTCCAGTTTGAGATCCGCTTCTACGTGGGGCATCTCGCCGGGGCTGTTGGGGGGCGCCCCCTCTTCGCGGATGCGCTTTCTTGCTGCCGCCGAGCCGAGCCCGCGCCCTTTGCCAGGAAGGTTTGTAGCGGGCGCGCCGCGAAGAGCCCGGAGCGGGTGCTCAAGCGCCCGAGCTTTATTAGGACAGTCACGCGGGGCTGTTTTTAGCACGCGCCGCTGCGCGCACGGCACAATGGCAGCTGCTCCTCGTCCTCCCCTGCACCTTTCGCCTGCCTGCCTGTGTCTGGCTCAGCGGGCTGGGCGTGGGGCGGCGTGTTGCTACAGCGCGCTGCGCAGGGCGCTCCGGATTCAGCCGAGTGGGTGCGTGGGCAGGAGCGAGGCGTCACCCACCGGAGACTGCCTGTGGCAACTGGCACGCTGGAGCCGTGTCCGGTTAAGGGCGAACCCAGGGGAAAGGAGGAAGCTCCCAGCACATGTGACCAAGCTCTAGCTCTATATAGCTGTCTGCTCTCTGGGAAGCAGGGGCTCAGTTGTGTGGGTTACTCTAGCTGTGCTGTAGTGCATCCCCCCCCAGCGATCCCGTTATGAAACGTCACTTGTGTCACTGAAGGCTCAGACTTTACTCCCTTCCCTTATTCCTGGCAGAGGAAGACTGGGTGGCTGTGGTGCCCGTGCCCTGGTATCACCACACAAGTGCTGCTTGTTTTCAATGGAGCCAGTCATCCGGCGGATCTTGTTCAGGGTTTCTTTAACCTTTTTGCAGCTCCTTTGTTTAAGATTTCGGACAAACTGCGTCCCTAGTTCCTCCAGCCCTTGGCGTTAGGGCCTGACCTAATTTCCTCTGTTCTGAGATTGTCATTCAGGTTTAGGCCTCAGTGGTTGGCTAGTCTCTTGTCCTTCCTTCTGACTGCTGGTTTTTCCCTCTTTGACCTTTCATTCTGTGCCCTCTGCTGTAGCCTTCACACATGAGAGCAGTGCTGAGAGTATAGTGTATGGCACTTAAGAGAAGTGAGGGTGTGAAACTCCTCCTCCCCTGCTGGCTGTGCTTGCTGAAGCCAATGCTCTATGCATCCAAGAGAGGAGAGTGACCTGCCAGTGGTGCACAAGCATAATTAAGCTCTCGGCCAAGTAATGGTGGAGGCCTGGACGGAAGCCATCCTCTTGAATCTGGAACCCTACAAAACATTGAGAAGCTCAGATCTGGACCTGACCTTTGCAGTTAATCCCTATCTCTTTATAAAGGGCTGACCAAAACCTGACTGTCCCTGAGCTGTGGTGAAACTCAGAGATGACCCAAGCTTTGCAGCTCAGGCCCATGTCTATTTACTAGGCTGAGTTGTGTAACTCCTACCTGACAGGAAAAGTGATGGTGAGTGAAGTTTAGGAACTGTTACACAAACTGATGTGTGTTTGTTCTGTTATAGCCTTGCAGTTATAGAGTAGAAATGTAGATGAAACCTGGCAGCTGGTTAATTACAGCATATCAGTAGCGCCAGTAGTCATTTGGAGTTTCTTTTGTACATACACCCCAATTTTGGTGAGTATGGGGAAGTAAGGGAGGGTACTTTTGGCCCTCTCAAATATCAATTAGGCTGAAACTTGGCTTATTTATTCTCTATTTATTTAAAATATTAGGAGCTGTTAGACAAGTTTAAATGAAAAAAGCTCCATAGCAAAGAAATTAGAATTTGGGCCCATTCTGCTTCCATTAAGTTAGGCTGCGTACAGGATTAACTGACTGAAATTCTATGACATGTAATACAGGAGGTCAGACTAGTTCATCAGAGCAATCCCTTCTGGATTTAAAGATCTATTAAACTCGAATCAATGGCAGTTTTGCCACTGACTTTGGTGGGAGCAATATAAAGCTTATGTTGCCCATAGCTGGAGAGTGGAACATGCTGTTCACCACTGGCTTCTTTTTCCAAGCAAAAAGCAGATGTGTTGCAGAGCCACATGACACTGCCTTCTTTATCTCCAAATTGCACACAGCCCAGCAGATCCCCTGCCCTCAGCATGGCTCTTATGGCAGTGGTTGCTGGTGTCTCCCAGATAAATCAATATTGCTGAGCACTGTGGACCAAATTTTCAAAAGTAGCCACTAATTTTGGGTGTCTCCATTTTTGGGGTGTCCAAGGTGAGAGAGGGAAATACAGGTGCAGCTATACTGAAACTGTTGGCTTGTCTACGCTGCCCCATAATTCAGACTAGGGGGTGTGAATAGCAGTGCACACTAAAGTGCTGTGCTGTAATTCCGCCATGTGGACACTGCGGGCCATAAGTGCTGGAAATAGGGGTGCTGCTGCACCCATTGGCTTGAAATAGTAATAACAACCCAAATACATGGTTTCTGCCATCAGCACCCCCACTATAAAAATTGTTCCAGCACCACTGCTGCGGGCGCAAACTTAAAGGTTCCTAGTTCATATTAGTGTAATCCTCTTCAAACAGGATTACATTAATGTGAACTATGAACCTTTTATTTCGCTCCTGCAGCATCCACACAGAGGCATTTCAACTCAGCACTTTGGTGCACACTGCTATTCACAGCCCCTGTAATCTGAACTGTTGGGCAGTGTAGGCATAGCCTGTGACCCATATCTTTTAGAGAGGTGTCTCACCTCGATTTAAAGACTTCACATGATGGAGAATCGACCACATATCCCTCTGTTTGCTGTTCCAATGGTTAATTGCCACTGTTAAAAAATTGTCCTTTATTTCTGGTTTGAATGCCTTTTTCTCTAGATTACAGAACCCTTTAATATTACATATTTTCACCCTGCATAGGTACTTATAGACTGTGAACAGGTCATCTCTTCGATAAATTAAATAGATTGAGCTCCTTTAGTTTCTCACTTTAAGACATGATTACCAAAACTGTAATTATTTTGTAGCTCTTTTGTGAACTCTCTCCAATTTTAAAGTGTGGACACCAGCCAGCACACAGTGTTCAATTAGTAGTGGTCATCACTGCTGTTGACAACAATAATATCACCTCCCTACTCCTACTTGATATTCCCCTGTTTATACAGCCAAGGCTCAAGTTAGCCCTTTATCTTGCGAGTGGCATGATGGAAGAAAACTTCTGAACTGCTTTATCAGAAAAGATCAATGGTCAATCTCATCTAGTATGCTGTCTTCTGATATTTCTCTATGCCTCATGCTTCAGAGAAAGGTAAAAAAATGCATCATAATAATGTGCAACACTATGTCTCAGAGAGAATCATCTTCCTTACTCCAGCTGGTGATTAACTGAAGTTGGAGTAGTACTGGCCCTTGTGATTTTTAGCCTCGTTGGTGTAACTACACATGCTTATTTATTTCATAGTAAAGACGAGCCTAACCACAAATTTCAGGTCCTGATCTGAAGTCCTCCCAGAATTCAGGGTGTTGCAGGCTTGGGGTTTTGATCTGTCCCATTTTATAGACAGGGTCAGTTGCAACATTCTGATCTGAATTACCCTAAAACTGGGTGTGTGTAGGTCTAGGAGGTTGGTCGAGGTGCCACTTACATTTATATCTGTTTATTTTTTAATCTTATGCAGTTTTCATCAGTTAATCTGTTGACAAGTATTTTCACAAGTTAATTATATACTGCATAAAAAGTACTCCTTTGAATCCAGTTTCAGTTTGTTTTTAAGTGAGCAAATTAACCTCTTCGTCAACCAGTTGCAATTCCAAAATATTGAAAAATGCATGGGATGGCAATCCTAGCAAAGTCTGAGTGCTTCAGAGTTTTGGAGACTCCTGAGCACTGAATGACTAATGAGAATGTCAACAGAAAACCATGCCTTGATTGTCACAAAAGATGCATTGAGATACTTCTCTTAACTTATTTGTAAAATTGTGGACTTGGTCCTCACGTCAGGACCACAGTTGCCCACTTTCACATGGTAAATAAGCACCCCGACTTTCACAATAAGCCAAAAATCAAGCTAATCCCATTACAAAACAAGCCAATCCCTAAGAACCCCAACACTCTGTGTGACTAGATCCCCCCGGCGTGCAGTCTGGGACCTTGGTGGGCCCACTGTGCACCCCTGACTCTTTCCCCACCTTGCGCCCCCTTGCCCCTGCTTGCCGGGAGCCGATAAAAAAAAAAAAAAAAAAAAGCAACAAGCTACAAGCCAAAAACTAGCCAATAAGCAACTTACATGTCAATTAAGCCAAAAACAAGCCCAATTTCTGCATTTTTTTTGCAGGTTTGACACGTCTGGTCACGACCTGTGCTCAGCACAGGACATGATAGGCTTTAGACTACCGTTATGCATACCCAGTCTTGGGGCTAGCCAAAGCCAAGTCTTTGCCAAGGGGCATTACCGGAGCAAAGAAATGGTCTGGCCAATCCCTTCCATGGCCAACCCCCTGCTATGGAGATTGCAAAGGTTACACCTGGGGATTCCCCCATCCTTAGATGGCTGGGTAAGCCAGCTTTACGACCCCTTTGCACTGGTGAAGTTGTCCAAAGGGGTCATAGAGCCAGGACCTGGACCTACAAGTTTACAAGACTACATGGTGAGGAGTAAGTCCTTTTGTTTATTATACTAAATTATATTATATTTATTTATTAACTCTGTAATTACTACACATCGCTTCTTTCATCTGAGGATCTCAAAGGGCCTGACAAACATTTTTAATTCATTAAGCTACACAGCACCCTAGTGAAGCTTTATACCCATTTTACAGATGAGAAAGGTACAGAGGGCCAAATGCAAAGATGAAGTAAATCATTGTCTACGCTACACATTGGTATCCTGATTATGATCTCACACTGGTTTTACACCAGTTGAACTCTATATACTTCAGTATAAATGCCTGATTTATACCAGTTGGTGGAGAAGCAACCCCAACATGTAAATTCATCAGATGCAAGTGGCAAAGCAGTGTAATTTGCAGTGATTTGGCATTCAGTAGGTATGCAAAATGAGTGGTATTTACACCAAGTTGGCATGCTGTGGACAACAAATACAGCAGGAACAGATTCCTATGTACATCAATAGGAATTGTAACCATGAAACCAGAGTGGAATTTGGCCTAGAGAAATTAAGTTACATGACCACGGTCACATAGCAAGTCAGTGGAAGAGCTGGGATGAGCAGCCAAGAGTCCTGGCTTCTAGTCCTCTTTGAGGGGATGAGCACGCAGTAATTAATTTTCATGAGATGCAGCATAATCTATGTAACATCTTTCTCACCAAGTAATAATTTGGATTCTCAAATAAGAATAAAATAAAAGATTGTTGGAATAATGTTCAGTCTCAGAGCTAAACTAGTGATGGTCTTAAAGACAGAGGGGCTTGGACTGAGGTTCTGAACACGGAGCTCTGCAAACCTGAACCCCTCCTGCCACCTGCTCTGCAGGTGTACGACTTTGTGTCAACACATGTGGTGATTCTGCATCGTAACTTCACAAGATGAAACATCTGCCAAATCAAACATAGAAACGTTTGAGTTCAATGCAGCAGATTTGAATGTATATTTGCACCTAAACCCATTCCTAGAAAGCCCCTAGGAACTTATATCAGTGGGATATGCATGTTGGGACAGGATAATATTAGAGTCAATGTACACTGTCAGGCTGGAGGGAGTTTTGCATCTGTGGGTGATTTTACAGTACATCAGTGACCCCCAAACTGTGGGGCGTGCCCCTAGGGGGGCATGGAGGAATGTTCAGGGGGGCCTGGTGGGGGACGGGCCAGCCCCCACAGGGGGCAGGGAGGGAGCTCTGCCCCCAGCTCCACTCCAGCCCTGTCCCAAGCCCTGGCGACAGCTCCTGGCCATGGCCCCTGGCTCCCAGCCATGACTGTGGCCCTGACTGCAGGCCCTGCTCCCAGCTGCAGTGCTGGCCCCACTCCCGACTTTGGCCCCTGGCCCTGGATCCCGACTGTGGCTCCCAGGTGGGGTGCGGACTAGGTAAGGGGAGGCCAAGGACAAAGAAGTTTGGAGACCACTGCAGTACATACTATAATATGAAATTAATTAATGATACTATAACAGCCTTAAGTCTGAATTTCTTTTTCTGCTATGTTGCTGTCTGCCTCTTAATATTGTTTTAATTTTTTATAATTTATAACAACATGCTGTCTGCTTTTATACTATATAGTATTTATACAAGATTGTTGTCTGCTTTTATATTAACTCATTTCCTATGGAATTATTTTTCTTTCATGGCTTTTACTGAGCTGTAAATTCAGCCTCCAATCTTCGTTTTCCCTGAGCAAGGCAGTTACAAGATTTCATGGTGCATTGAGAAAGAGATCTGCTTTCCTGTACTGCCATGATGGTCAATCCACTGAGGGAAAAGAGATTAAAATACTGAAAGCTTGTTTCCATCCAATCCAAAATCCCTGTTTGGTTTGGTTTGGTTGTTTATGAATAAGGCTCCGGACACAGACTCTTTTAACTCAGATTATTTTTTCTATGGGTTTGTGCCCAGTCTCTGTGAAAATGAGCACGCTACGCTGTCTATGTGAAACAAAATAAATTAATAGTAATTCAATAATAATAAAAGCATTCTGGAACTAAGTGGCACATTTTCTGCATCTTGTGCCTTTTCCTTTATATTTTTGCTATGTGTGAAAATCTTAATACAAGTTTAAAACTAAAAAGAAGATCTTATCAGAGGAGTCTGTGCAATAATCTCTATTAATGTTTTTCATCAAAGGGTACGTCTTCACTTACATCCGGGTCCGGATGTAAGCAATCGGTTTTCTGAGTTCGATTTATCGTGTCTGGTTAAGACGCGATAAATCGATCCCGGATCGATCCCGGAAGTGCCCCGGATCGATCCCGGAAGTGCTCGCCGTCGACGCTGGTACTCCAGCTCGGCGAGCGGAGTACGCAGCATCGACGGGGGAGCCTTCCTGCCGCGTCTGGACCGCGGTAACTTCGGACTAAGGTACTTCGAATTCAGCTACGTTATTAACGTAGCTGAATTTGCGTACCTTAGTCCGAAGTGCGGGGGGTTAGTGTAGACCAGGCCACAGTTTTACCCTGCATTTTAAAAAGAAGTTAATTTGGATGCCCAATAGCCCCACCTACTGACAACAGATACCACGTTCTTAAAATGGATTATTATTACAACAAAATGTTAGATGTGTACCAAATGCCTGTTTATAAATATTACAATTAAGAAACAGAACCACCACTACCACCCATATTAATCGATAGATGAGTATGAGATTTCATGCCCACAAAAGTCAAAACAATTTATAATTAAATTTCTCACAGAAACTTTAAATCTCCTCCCTCTTTTGACATGTATTAGGATGACTAGTGGTGGACCAAGCAGGCTTGGTTTTGCTTTTACAGAACCTAGGTTGCATTTTGTCTTGAGAAAACCAAAAACAAGGCTGGCTTGTATCCTTGTTCCATTTTAAAATTTCAGGGAATGTAGATAAAAACTATGGCATTTTATAATCACATAACACATACCACAATAACACATGCTATCTCAGGCGTCAGCAACCTTTCAGAAGTGGTGTGCCGAGTCTTCATTTATTCACTCTAATTTAAGGTTTTGCGTGCCAGTAATACGTTTTAACGTTTTTAGAAGGGCTCTTTCTATAAGTCTATAATATATAACTAAACTATTGTTGTATATAAAGTAAATAAGATTTTTAAAATGTTTAAAAAGCTTCATTTAAAATTAAATTAAAATGCAGAGCCCCCTGGACTGGTGGCCAGGATCCGGGCAGTGAGAGTGCCACTGAAAATCAGCTCGCGTGCCACCTTTGGCACGCGTGCCATAGGTTGCCTACCCCGTGCTATCTTGTTACCAGGTCTACACACAGACTGTGGGCTTGTCGATTTATTGCATCTAGTCTAGACGTGGTAAATCAACCGCAGAACGCTCTCCCGTCAACTCGGAGTGAGAGGTGCAGGCAGAGTCGACGGGGGAGCATCAGCCTTCGACTTACTGCAGTGAAGACACCGCGGTAAGTAGATCTAAGTACGTCAACTTCAGCTACGTTATTTACATAGCTGAAGTTGCGTAACTTAGATCGATTTCACACACACACACCCCCAGTGTAGACCAGATTAACACTAATTTAGTTCCCATTACTATTCTCTAGTTCCTTACCTATAATTCCCTAACAGCAAAGGTAAAACTATTCTTAAAACAACCTACCAAAATGCTATCCATCTCTGCCCAGAGTGGGTAAAATCTTATTAGTTATTTTCATTTTCCTCACTCATCCTGATAAAATGGAAAGAATAGATTTTGTGCCTGGGCTTGTAAATGTTCACAACAATTTTTGCAATGTTGCTTAACACTAAAACTTATTAGCACATAAGCCTTTTACAAGTGCACAGCTATAGATACTAGCCCACACCTAACACCCTAGTCAGGCCATTTAAATATTCCTGTCATCAAACAGTTACAGATCATCACGTGACACTTAGAAGGTCAAGTGCAATTCTGGTGGCTCGGACCCATGGTGTTGCTCTCCACCTTTTCCCAGTGAAAGAAATCCTCTTTAGCTGTTCTCTCCCTCAACTTCACACTTACAAAAATGTCATAATTGGATAATATTAAACAATTCAATACATGTAAATAGTAGATGGATAAATGCATCCCAATAAAAATAAGTTAAATGAATTGAAATTGCTGGGTGGAAACACTGGGCTATATGTTGTTAATGATTTGCTTCATCAAATCTTATCAGTAGGTGGTAATGGACGATAGAAAACACAACTTATTGTAGTGCTTTTTTCCCTCTGTTTCCCGGCAAGGTGTCTGTTATTTTATGTATTGATTGCTTCTCATCTATAACTCTCCTGGCCTCAGTTGCTACATAATAGTGTTGCTCTCTGATGTTAAACAGTTCCCACGTTTCACCCCACAGGTGGCTGTATTTCAGTGAAGGCTGAAGTAATTTCGGTGTATGGTTTGTGAAGTGCACTGGGGTCTTTTGGGATGAAAGGCGTGATATAAATGTAAGATACTATTCATCTGCTTTTTCCAGTACACACGGTGCTAATATTTTTTCCTTTCTTCTCGAGTTCCCCAGATTAAATTGTCAAGAGTCTCAGTAATAGCCTGAACTTTTGCTCCAGGCAGACTAATAATCACAGTTCTGTTAGCTCAATCCTTATAAAGAAATGGCTATTCTCAAGACGCACAATTGATTCGCCTACTGTCTTTCTCATCCACATCCCTTGTATTTCCTGTGTGCAGCCTTAGCCCTTGGATGTAGCTCAACTTCCATTTCCCCCTTGCCATGTCAGCTCTCCTTCAGCTCAACATAAAGCCTGAGTTGGTCCTGAAATAACAAGGACCAGAGTGAGGATGCTTCATCAGGCTTCTGAGTCCTTTATCTCCTTTTCTTCCATCTGCTGAATTAGAAGAGGAAAGGCTTGTCCTGTGTAGGCAAAGCACTGTGAGAAACCAAATAATCGGCTCCTTCGGCTACCCAAGAAGTGTCTCGTTCTCTTCACAAACAGAAAGGGGCCACATAAAATCACTTCCCTGAGCTGTTCTGCACAGCCCTGTGGGAAACAGAATCATTAGCTCCAGTTAGCTGCCAAGCCAACACCCCTTTTTCTTCCCTCCAAGTCCCCTCCCTTGACCCCACTTTATTATAGCTGCAGCCACTACTGTAGTAAACACAACTGAAAAGGGGATCTGTTCCAAACCACATCCCGAGAGCTGCCTCCTGGTCTTTTACAAGGGAATGTCAAGTGCCACTGCTGGCATCCATCCAGTCCAAAAGACACTTCATCCTAAGAAGCCTGGGATGTGCTAGTCACTCATAGGGCTTAAACGGTTAACACTGGACAAGGGCACCACCTCTCCTCCACCACTCACTATCTTTATTTCCTTCTGTCCTAAATACACTGACCTGATTATTTTCATCAGAATTCAGTTCCTGCTAGTGCCTCTTCTATTCAGGCCTTGGTTACCTTTCTCCTTTCCGCCCACACACGTTGCTGTAAGGTGTTAATACATTGGCTAGCAGAGCAACAGCTTTTCAGGAATCTATGATCTATAACAGCCCTGGCTGGGAAAAAGTGCAGTTGCAAACTTTCAATGGTGTATGTGCCTTCCCTGACATCTGGTGGTGGGGTGAATAAATGGATGGTTGAAAAATTTGTCTAGTTCACTGGTCACAAATTGATCTATGCATGAATCATAAATATTACACGATTCAGCAAAAAGACCCTTTCCTCGGTAGATTATTCTCCTATTCTTGTAATGTCCCCTATGTTACCAGACATTTGCTTCTTTCTCCCCTAACTTACATAAATATATATCCGGCGTAACTCTGTTGAAGCCAGTGGAGTTACCTCTATGTAAAACTGATATAGGTCAGATCAGAATCAGACCCATTTTCTCTGTGCTCTGCTTTTCGCCTCCAAAAGTTCAATTAGAACTGGTCAAAATATTGAAAAGAAAAGGTTATTTTTGTCAAAATAGTCTTTTTTCAAAAATATTTATTTTTATGAAAAACTGTCAACTTTTTTTTGCAAATTTTTTTTCCTTTTTTCAATGTTTTTTTTCAAAATGTTACAAAAATATTATTGAAAACATTATCAGAATGGTTGTCTACATTTTTGATTATTCAAAACTAAAGTTTTGGTGAATGAAAACAAAAAAATATATAACCATTTTGACCTTTTTTATTTTAAAAAATTGTGGGGAAAAAAATAAAAACAAAAAATGGGTCCATTTCAAACACTTTGAAATGAAAACTTCAAAATTGTTGTGCAAATAGGTTGTTGGAGGGTTTTTTTACCAGCTCCAGTTCAGGTACAATATGGAAAACTGATACTAGTTTCTTATTCTCTTTATCAGCTCTTCTTCAACTGAGACTTTAAAAAAATAGTATGTGATGAATGACTGATGATACTTTTGTTACCTTGTTTAATACAGATGAGTCCAAACCAGAATTCCAGATCTGAAGATCCCTTAAACTTTGGAAAAGTTCTGCCCTGGATCAAATCTTGGTGGCTCGAGCTCATCTCTACTCATTACATTTGTTCTGTTTTGAGCTGCAAATCTTTCACCTCTTATCCCAGGAGCAAGAAGACAGTATTATTTGTTTACTTACACTTTATTACTTAAATTTCATGTGGACCTGTGTATGGATAAAAAAATTGTATTGCTGACCAAACTAGAAAAAAAAATTGCATCAAGTTTTTGTGATTGGGAAATGCAGATTTTGCCTGCTATCATAAAGAGAAGAGAGAGAGAAACGGACCAAACAGCAAACGTTTTGTCTGCTCTGAAGTGTAATTCACAGAGGACAGCCCCATTCCAAAGGCCACTGGCTGGAACAGTGCTTCCACAATGTTCTTATTCATTTGCTAAGGAATAGGGAGGCATAGAAAGGACAGAGTGGGACCCTGGTTCCTGAGAAACATGGCCTAGATCATCAGCTGGTGTCGGCGTAGCTTCACTGAAGGATCTGGACCTTTATACATTTTTATATGTATATATACACAAACACACACATTTAATCTGCCCTTGAATAGGTCAAACTTGGTCCCCTGGCAGATATGCTTATTCGAAATCGTGGTGTTATTTTGACTATGAAATGCCCTTGACAAGCTTATAACCTCGGTTTAAGAATTCTTATTGCATCTTTGGAACACTTCCAGGCTTCATCTTATCAGGATAAGAAGATGTTAGTTCACGCCTTGCTGTCATCCAGGCTTGACTGTTGTACTTGATTGCTGATCAGCATCTCATCCCTTCCTATTTTTTAGTTTTTCTTCTGCTCCTGCGAAATTCTGCAGCTAAATTCAGAAATCAGACTAAACTTGCTTATATTACTGGTCCTGAACCTTCAGCTCTGACTGTTACACAGCTGGAGAATTACTTCTCCTATGCTCACAAAATGTACAGTCCGCTTTGCACCACGCTGGCAGAGCTGGTAATTGCCATAAGCCCCACAGGCTATACTAGAGGACGATATAATTTGGAGTCCTGAAATGTGCAGCTACCAGCAATTACAAGCACCATATACATAGTAGTGCAGAGCCCTCATTAGTCCATACACCAGAAGAGGTAGGGGGCCTTACTTTTGGTCATCTCCTCAAAGAAAGAAAAAGGGAACTAGGGTATGTTGCAAACCTTCTTGCATCTCAGGCTGTATCCAAATGCCAGCTGCCACCTGCCCACTTCCCTTAAGTCAGTTGCCAAGTTGTGATGTGAAATGAGATAGTTAAATTACCCAGTGTATCTGCTGCTCCTGTTTCCTGTCTGCTAGGTTCTGCATGAGGCACCAGCTGTAGGCACCTAGGTATTGTGATAGGGAAGCCACCAGAGGGCACTTTTGCATTTCCTATTAAGGCCCTGCCTTTCAATGTGTGTGATCAGAAACTCAGCAATGCTGCTTTCTTGCCAGCATGAGAGAATAATAATTAATACCAAATGGCATTTATATAGCACCTTCCTTCCCTCTGAGGAGCATATAAAAACATCCTTGTGATGAAGAATTCAGGTGATCTATTAGAGCAAGCGCTGAATAAGACTAGAGTCGGTCAGCTCAAAATGGCAAAAGGGATTCACCTACATGATCACAAGTGGCAGGAAGATACTGATGAGAAAGAAAACCTGGGGTAATAGAGATTAGAAAGTAACCATAAGTCAAATGTCTGGCAGCAACTATAAAAAAAAAACACTTAAAAAAAACTATCCTCAAATAATGTACAATAATTGATGATACATTTCATTTCTATAATGCAATTCATCTGATGATCTTAATACACTTTCCAAATATTAGCTATTTAATCCCCACATCACCTGGCGAGATAGTTAAGGGATAGCCTATTTGGTAAAATATTCAGGGCAAAATTTTCAAAACTGTGTGCCTGCAGTTAGACTGCTAAAGCCATCTTTATTTAAGCACATAAATAAATGGCTGGATAGTCAGAAGTGCTAAGCATGTGCAGATATCAGAATTAATGTAGTAATAGTAACTTCATAACAAAGATTTGTAATTTCAGTCTTTCAGCACAGGCAACATAAAGATTGTCCGTGTCTGTGTTCACAGGCGCCAACTTTCCATTGTGACCGGGGGGGGCCTCGACCATGGCTCTGCCCCAGGCCCCGCCCCAACTCCACCCCTTCCATCAAGGCCACACCCCACCCTGCCTCTTCCTGCCCTGTTCCGCCCCCTCCCCCGAGTGTGCCACATCCTCTCTCTCCTCCCCACCAGCCTCCTGCACACTGCGAAACAGCTGATTGCAGCGGGCAGGAGGTGCGGGGAGGGAGAAGTAAGCGCTGATTGGCAGGGCCCACCAGCAGGCAGGAGGCACTGGGGGGGGAAGGTGTTAAGAGGGGGGCTGCTGGTGGGTGCTCAATACCCACCATTTTTTCCCCATGGGTGCTCAACTTGACCAAATGTCTACAATTTGATGTCTAGACGCTTCCCTGTTGTTTTTCTCTACTAAAGATGTTCTCGGGGTGTATAATTTTGTCTTTGGCAGTGCTAGGCCAGAAAAGCAAATCCTTGCTCTCACATTTGTAGTTTTCTACTGTCATGTGTCCCAAGTTTATGTTTGTTCATTTCCAATCTCATTGATCATGGAACCACTAGTCTTTCATCATTACAGATCAGACCATCTGTAATTGTTAGTACCTCATGCACTTCTTGGTCTGAATGAATACGAAAGGATGAATCTGTATATTTTGTACTAAGTATTAAATGAAGTTTTCAGTGTCCAGTTTAATCTGTCCACTTAATATGCCAATACCCAGATCTTGCATCCTGGATACTGAAAAGCTGGGCATTAGCTAATTTACTTGTTTCATCTTCAGATGTAGGCATCTAGAAATGCTCGTGCTTGATTGCCTTGTGGAAGTCTGATGGATCTAGACAGTTACAGCTCTCTGTGTGTGATTTTTCCACTACTACTATGGAGTTTACTTGCTCTGTAGGCTCAGATACCTTGACAATTACCATAAAAGTTTCCAGTCTCAATCTCTTTAGCCACTAGAACTGGAATTGGCATCAATGTTGGAATTCCTGGATGAAGTTCTCTGGTTATCATAAAGGTCCCTTTTTGCTTTAAAGTCTATGAATCTACGAAGATCCATATCAGCACAGTTAGAACTTTTAGATCCACAGCACAGATCTTCTGCTTGAGCTAACAGAGTAAAGGACAGTAGTAATAGGTTGTCATCCTCTATGTGGGCCAGTCAATAGAGGCAGACAAGGCACTAATTTTGAGAGTGGGTTTCACAGCACAATCCAGGCATATGGAGCACAAAGGTAGCATTAATTCCAGGTTCTGAGAGGAATACTCTAGTAGTTACAGACCCTTCTGTTTCTGGCTCCTCCAGCCTGCCCTTATCCTAGCCCCAATCGTAACCCCACCCATTGGCTTCTTGTCTCAATCCCCATTCCCCACTCATCTCATCTCCTTGTCCCAGTCTACGCACACACAGACCCCCCCAGACCCTATGGACTCCTTGCTCCAATCCCAGTCTTCCCCTCAAATCTTCATCCCAGTCCCAAAATATACAACACCAATGCACCCTAGTCCCACTCCCAGCCCTAGGGCGAGGTGGGGAGACTGAGCACCACAGCTCTCCAACAGTTCAACTGGGAGGAACTCGGAGAAGCAGAAGGGAAAGAACCTGGGTGCTCAGCCTTCAACAGTCTAATCCCGTCCCATTAAAAATGTGGTGTTTTCAACTCAATCCATGACGACAGTTTTTTTTTTTCTTTTTCAAAAAAGCAACCTTTGTTTGGCAGGAAGGGATTGCTCATTTTCCAGCCAGCTCTAGTGCCAGACTCTTTACTGAGCATCTGCAAACTGAGGTTTTTCAGAAATGTATAACTTGGCCAAATTTGGGTGGATTTTCACTGGGATGGCAAAAGACACAGCCCCGACACGAGGGTGACCCCCTTAGCCAAATTTCAAGTCCTGCTCCAAAGCATAGAAGCTCTAGAGCTTCTCATTAAAAAGCTTGTAAGAAGTTTTTTACTTAGGCAAAACAATGTATTTTCTGCTAACTTGATTCTAAGAAATGGCAGATACATTTTTGCATAAATTCAGGCTAAGACAGACACATGGCCTGGAAAATTTCAGCCCAAATGGTTTAAGTTTGGCAAAGTTATAAACATCTGAAACTAGAATTTTATAATAAAAAGTGTCAGGCAACCTTAACTATAGGCATCACTACCTGTGCTGCCTATAGTAAGTAAGATCCATTTAAATTTGACATGGGAGGAGAGAATATTTTGATAACTTCTTGGATTTAACAGAAGCGGAATAAGCAAGATAGTAACCTACACTTATTTCCATGTTAATTTAAATAAGCCCATGTCATTAGAGAGATTCACCTGTACATTTAAAAAGCCAGAAGCATAACTTCCATCCATTCCCAGGCACTGTGGATAATAATAATAGCTCTTATATAGTTGAGCAAGACTTTTATAGAATAATAAAAGATTAGGATTGGAAGAGACCTCAGGAGGTCATCTAGTCCAACCCCCTGCTCAAAGCAGGACCAACACCAGCTAAATCATCCCAGCCAGGGCTTTGTCAAGCCAGGCCTTAAAAACCTTTAAGGATGGAGATTCCACCACCTCTCTAGGTAACCCATTCCAGTGCTTCACCACCGTCCTAGTGAAATGAGAGACTAGATTGCATAACATGGTTAAATCTAGGCATGCTGGAAATTTCCTTAGTGCTAACTCTGAAGACACTTTGGGCCAAATCCTCAGCTTGTGTAGAAGCTGAGAATATGACTCTGGTGCAACTGAGGATCTGGCCCTGCAACTAGCAGAAATACCTGGCTGACATTACAGACCTGTTTGGGCTCAGCACCAACAGGAACATCATATAAAGTTAAAAGGTAGCCTGTAATTTGACCCATCCTAATGTATGGAACAGAGACTTGGAACACAAGAAAATAAATCAGTATGCTCATCACCACCATGGAAATGAAGATGTTGACAAGGTCCAATGGTTGGACACTCTGTGATAGGAAACAAAATGAGGTTGTGAGAGGCCTATTGTTGGTTGCCCCAACTGAAGACAAGTTGAGAGAGGCTAGGCTATTTTGGAATGGACATGTCCGGTGGAGACCTGAGACATATATTGATAGGTTGGCCTTTGTAATGATTGTGGATGGAAGACGAGCAAGGGGGAGGCCAACGATTCGGTACACGGGCTGGATATCAGCGGACCTTAGAGAGACCTATTTGCAAAACAGCCCAGCAGACAATCATAAGTTTTGGAAGAAGGCTCTAAAAGTCACAGACCCCAAATAGGGAAGTGACAAGAAAAAAGAAGATGAGTCATTACTATCAGCTCCACAAAAGCAGATCCCTTTATCCACTGACTTTGATGGGTCTCCTCTTAGACCCACCAACATAGATCCAGTTGCAGGACTGATGACTTAATTTTCAAAGACAAGTCCCAATTTATTTATGCTGAGTAGTGACCCATGCCTTTCTGGCTGCTGGATGGGAAAAATTAAGTATTGTTTTATTTTAATCCAGCTGTACAATCACCCAGAAAAATATCTGAACTGAACTGGAGCGAATGAAAAGAATAAATGTGATTACCAGGTACCCTGAGAGGCTGCTGATTGGGTGACTAGCATGGTAACATCAGTGAAGCTAAACAAAATCAGACTCTTCCTAGTCCTGGGTGATTTAAAACATGATGAAAAAGAAGCTTTACCTGTTGTGTAGAGCAGAAAATGTTACACTGTAGTGACAATGCTGTATTGTTTTTTTAGACCGACTACACATCAATGGCTTTGGCAAATACAGCTAAAGGAGGAATGCTGGAAGCTGTACATTACATTTTGTCCAGCATAGAATCATAGATTATTAGGGTTGGAAGGGACCTCAGGAGATCATCTAGTCCAACCCCCTGCTCAAAGCAGGATCAATCCCCAACTAAATCCCCAAATGGCCCCCTCAAGGATTGAACTCACAACACTGGGTTTAGCAGGCCAACGCTCAAACCACTGAGCTATCCCTCCCCCAATAATGTTGATTCACTTGATCTCTCTTTAATAGCTCATCTGCAGTGTAAGTATCCCAGAAATGTCTGAGAGTTTGGAAATTCTAGAGGTGACATTTGAATATGTGTTTAGAAATACATGGCACCAGTGGTTTCCCCAGGAATTGAAATTAGGGGGGGTGTCCGAATTTACAGGGGGGGGTGTCAGGACCGATGAGCTATATAAAAGAGATATGAATAAAGTAAATGTTTTGTTAGGATAATGCAAATTTAACATAAGGATAATGCAAGTTACACCAAAACACATAACAGGTCTAGATTTCTAAAAAAATATAATTTTTTTTAAAAAATATGTATTTAATTTAAATTAACTTTTGAAAAGTAAGCCATCATGGGATAAGAGGGAAGTCCTCTCATGGATCAGTAACTGTTTAAAAGATGGGAAACAAAGGGTAGGAATAAATTATCAGTTTTCAGAATGGAGAGAGATAAATAGTGGTATCCCTGAGGGGTTGGTACTGGGACCATTACTGTTCAACATACTCATAAATGATCTGGAAAAATGGGTAAACAGTGAGGTGGCAAAATTTGCAGATGATACAAAACTATTCAAGATAGTTAAGTCCCAGGCAGACTGCGAAGAGTTACAAAGGGATCTCACAAAACTGGGTGACTGGGCAATAAAAATGGCAGATGAAATTCAATGTTGATAAATGCAAAGTAATGCACATTGGAAAACAATCTCAACTATACATACAAAATGAAGGAGTCTGAATTAGCTGTTAACACTCAAGAAAGAGATCTTGGAGTCATTGTGGATAGTTCTCTGAAAACATCCACTCAATGTGCAGCAGCAGTCAATGATTCCCAACATTCTGTTTGCTTTTTTAAAAAGAACAGGAGTACTTGTGGCACCTTAGAGACTAACAAATTTATTTGAGCATAAGCTTTTGTGGGCTTCAGCCCACTTCATTGGATGTAGCTCACGAAAGCTTATGCTCAAATAAATTTGTTAGTCTCTAAGGTGCTACAAGTACTCTGTTCTTTTTGTGGATACAGACTAACAC